GGGGTCACGTAATGGTGCAAAGCCTCTATTGTTTTAACTCCACATATGTGACATCGTGCTCAGGAAGACCAACAGAAACACATCTGGCCACACCTCAGTAGGAGTCGTCACCTTCTCACATTGAAATGTTTGTCCACTGGTCATCTCAGCCTGTATAAACTTGGTGCTTGAATCATTCGGGGTCTGACGTCGAGGGGACATGCTGCTTGTTGTTCTGTCGGACCTATTTCTCACAAGAAATAAACTCTGCGTCTTAGTTTCATCATTCATCAGTGTCTACAAACAGAGTCTTTTTCCACAACACGATGATCAGCAAGCAGAGCAAGTCTCAGTCGTCCTCTTCATCTCCAGCTCCACGTGCGACCTACACTCAGAAGAAAGATGGTCCATGTCAGATGTTCTGTGTGTGTCCTTCTTTGGTCCCATGGAAAACCTCGACGATACACAGTGTACACCCAGAAAACAGGTTACCATGGCAACCACTCATAGGTTTAACTTCCTCTTTTATGCAACATTTGAACAACTTTTACACATTTTACAGATGTATTATATCTGAATCCAAACAAGTCCACTGCGCACTACCCACATCTCATTATAGTGTTTTATTGGCACAGAATCAGGAAGTGCACATTACCATGCTAGTTGCTGCTAAATTTACCTGCACTGAAAACTCACTGTGGTCTCTGAGAGTTATGAAAAGTGCTTCTGAACTCATCTCGGTGAATAATTGGGATGTTCAGAAAGTTAACTTCAAGTAGAGTGCCTTTAAATTGTTAATCGCTATGGCAACAGTGAAAACCTTGGATATGAAGCTCTTTGAACAAGGTCACATCCCATATGGAAAAAAACTGGGAAAAAAATATAAGAATTGACCAGTGTCTTTGTAGTAAATCTTTTTATAAGGTTAATAAGTGTCATGTGTGGTTTACTCCTGAAAGTGTCCCCCTTTTTGTATGTATACAACTATATTATGAAAAACTAGTAAAGATAAAGTGAACATTTTGCATGACATTTACAGGTAATGTGCATGATCAACTACATTTTCTTTGTATGTTCCATGTAATGTTTGTATTCTTTAATTATATGTTGCAGAAAAAATAATCAGAGTCTGAAGGGGATTTGAACCCAGGTCGACCATGTGGATCCAGTGACTCACCAATTGAGCAAACTAACTGCTGATTCTAGAGAGAACAACAGCAGATATTGAGGACAATTACAAGTACCTTGGTATTTGTAAGTGATATGTCCTCTTGTCATTTGAGGCATGTGAAAAAAAAACATAAATGTACAGCTGCTTTTTGGAATATTACAAGTCAATATAGACGTTTGTAATAATTAGGATTTTGCTGAGTAAAAATCTTTTTACAGCCTGATGTTTGTTCACTGTGAGATCAGTGGAAGATGTTTTTAAGGCTGTAATGCAAGATTTACATTACTGTGTTTACCCCCATACTGCCCAACACACACACACACACACACACACACACACACACACACACACACACACACACACACACACACACACACACACAGACACACACACACACACACACACACACACACACACACACACACACACACACACACAGACACACACACACACACACACAACACACACACACACACACACACACACACGACACACCACACACACACACACAGACACACACACAGACACACACACACACACACACAGACACACACACACACAGACACACACACACACACACAGACACACACACACACACACACACACAGACACACACACACAGACACACACGACACACACACACACACACACAGACACACACAGACACACACACACACAGACACACAGACACACACACACACACACACACACACACACACACACACACACACACAGACACACACACACACACACACACACACACACACAGACACACACACAGACACACACACACACAGACACACACACACACACACACACACACACAGACACAGACACACACACACACACACACACACACACACACAGACACACACACACACACACACAGACACACAGACACACACACACACACAGACACACACACACACACACACACACACACACACACACACACACACACACACACACAGACACACACACACACACACACACACACACAGACACACACACACACACACACACACACACACACACACACACACACACACACACACACACACACACAGACACACACACAGACACACACACACACACACACACACACACACACACACACACACACAGACACACACACACAGACACCCACACACACACACACACACACACACACACAACACACACACACACACACACACACACACAGACACACACACACACAGACACACACACACACACACACACACACACACACACACACACACAGACACACACACACAGACACACACACACACACACACAGACACACACACACACACACACACACACAGACACACACACACACACAGACACACCACACACACACACAGACACACACACACAGACACACACACACACACACACAGACACCACACACACACACACACACAGACACACACACACACACACACAGACACCCCCACACACACACACAGACACACACACACACACACACACACACACACACACAGACACACACACACACAGACACACACACACACACACACACACACACACACACACACACAGACACCCACACACACACACACACACACACACACACACACACACACACAAACTGTGATCATTTTCTTTCTCACTCTCACACACACACAACACAGCGATCGAGTTTAAAGAAACAATCATCGTTTCACTTGTTTTTCTATGAAATAAATGACCTTCGTCCAACACTTGTGAGGACATTGTTTGTGGGATTAGTGTCATATTCAGCACTTGCAGGTTACAAAGTTATATATGTTTCATGCTGCACATATTTACCAAAGATCTTGTAACTGTTTTCACTGTCTTATACAAATCTTGTAGGATTCATATGAAACATGTTAAAATGGTGGATGATTTGTCTATTCTTTTCCATATGGGATGTACAGATCATTGTTTTTAGCCCAGTTTATGGTCATGCGTCAAATCGTCCGCGTTGTGATATTTTTGAAAATATTTAATTAAGTAACACTGGACCAAAGTTCCTGTTTAACCCTAAAATCAAGAGTTATATGAACATTTTGAGAGTAAATGGATAATTTAAGATGAAATTATGAACAAAACTGGTTCAAACTGGTCTTTTCTCACTGGAGTTTGAAGTGGTGGTGGGAGGAGCCAAATTAACACTAGTGGAAGTTGAATTAACTTTAATCAAATCAGGTCTGGCAAATAACCCCACTGAACCCCATTTTAACTTTCAAATAGTTAAAATGACACTTTTTGTGTTAAAAACAACTGAACCCTCCCATTTTTGCTGTGTGACATAACAACATTCTCAAGGCCAGTCAGATTTAATACAGATGGGAGCAGGTAAAATAAATACAAGATGTAGTTTTTGTTGTTGTTAAAGGATTTAGAAAAGATTACAGAAAAGATTTGTGAATAAACATTTGGATATTTTATGACAAAGTACAAAGTTATTAATAGTGATGTAACAAAACAAACAAAAACAAAAAAAAGTGATATCGTACTGTCAAAAGTCTCACAATAACATCATGGACCATCACAATATATCAAATTTCAAGTTGCTTTGCTTAAATTCACAGTTCTGGTGCAGCAACAGCTAAAAGAAACACAGAGAACTACATATACCAGGAGTGTCAAACATCTGGCCCTCCAAGAACTTTAATGTGGCCCTTGGCTGATTTTCTACTAAAATATTTCAATTGTATTTTCTATTAAAATCTTGTTAATTTTCTGTGGTGTTTACCACAGCAGCGTCTCCAGCGTCTCTGTACGTGGCCCCTCCCACCAGAGCAGCACAAATGAAGACTTGTCTCTTTCCAAACACTCTTAAAGGACGATCGTTTTGACTGTTGACCGTGACACCCTCATCAGAAAAATGTCCAACATGAGAAAAGTGGAGCCGAGTGCAGGATTTTACAACAAAAATGGACTTATTACTATTTACATACAAGTTCATGTTAAAACATTGTGTTGACATTTTATTTGTCTTAAAGGTTGTTCATAATATTATACTATTTTGTAAAAGAAAGACATCATCAATTAAAAAAGATTTCTTTTTTAAGGGGCATACGGGACGGGGGGGAATATTACGGTGGCCGACGGGGGCCAAACGCACTGCAACAGCTCAATGCGTCTCATTTAGAGAAAACAATTTCAAGTACAGAAACGATGCAAATTCACAAGGTCAAACACAAGTTTAAACGAGGTACAAACAAAATACGTGGTGCAGATGAAAAAAACGCGCTGCAAGAAACAAAGACAAATGCATCATCATCAAATGCGCTGCAAATAGAGAAACGATGCAAAGCGCGAAACGATGAAAACCAAGAAAACACCTGCAAAAGAAAAACGCTGCATAAAGAGTCGCCACAACGGAAGTGCTCCAAACCTGCAGGGGGCGCGCTCAGTAGCAGTGTCCGCGGACCGCAAAGGCCGTGCTGAAATGAGACAGGTGTAGTTATTTTATTAGATGCTAACGCTAATGCTAACAACAGGCACCACGCAAATTACTACACGAATCGGTAAAAACATTACGCATGGTACTCAAACTGTAGGAGATCAAGTTACTCTAATAATTCTCATCCAAATCTTATGGTTAAAAGCGAAAACTTATGTTTAACTTTTGCATAAACAAAATGGCTTTATTTCTGGAATACATCTAAAATAGACTAAATGACCTTAAAGTTTCAAAAACTGTGATGGGATATGCATTATGAAGTATGTTTCTTTTGATAAGGGATTACATTTATACCGGGCATTCATTTACGTCAGTTTATTAAAAAAGACATCTCTCCTTTGAGAAAAGATGATTTATTAAACAATCATAGGAACTTCTGGAAATTGTTTGTCATAATGTGAATAGTCGAACATTAAACCCATTACGCACACACTGCATTAATAGGTTTGTACAAACAACTGTTTGTCAGTGTACTCTCAAACTGTTACCTTTTTACTGAACCAGGTGACAATTCAAAATGGACAAATTATCTGCATAACTGCAGTACAATAGTAAATTCTTATAGTGCATGTAATCAGTTACTACCAAAAGAGACACTAAATAAACAGCACATTTCACCATGAAACAAATGTCAGTATAGACGAAAAACATCCAGAAAAACTTATGAGTAAATGATATGTTTTCAGTTTTGTCTCACACACTTGGTAATATCATATAAGGCCACATTTATCATGGTACACTGCCTCAGTGATGAAGTTGTTTAGGTGCTCCTCAGCTAAGATGAAAAGGAACCACCATTTTACTGTTTTACTTGTGCAAGAAATTAGAAGTTAAACCTAAACTTTACGGACACATCACTATTAACACACATTAGAGACAGCAGGAGGAAGGCCTGATGCAACCAGAGGCCCTACAGATGTGCTGCAGTCTGGACGACCTCCTCCTCAGTGAGTGTGGACATGGACAGTGAAGGCATGAACCAATGTACTTGGGCCACTCAGTCTGATGTATCTCTCGTCTTCTGGAGGAGGAAGAGCAGAATGGGCCTTATGTCTGATAGGTTCAAAGTCAGGTCCTGCAGAGTGAAAACCAGTAATGACACACACATTAGGAAAACTACAAAATGATTACAGGAAAATATATAAATTGAAACAGCAAAGTTAATAGAAGAATCCCACACATTTGAGAAATGCGTATTTTTACTCTTTGAATCATGATTTCAACATGAGCATGATTCATTTGCAGCCCTTATTAATACTGGAGTTTTCAATGCAACATGCACCATACCTAATCTGTGGCAGGAGTCTGGTTCAGCACCTCCAGTGCAGTGTGGGCTTTACTTTGTCATCTGCATTTGACCCATTTCATGAATCATGAGTGTCTCAGCAGCCAACAGTTCTGTGGCCCCAGCAGTAAGTTGTGTCCTCATACAGGAGTCTGCAGATGAGAAAAGAAAATGAATATAAAATATTTCAAATAGTTTTCTCTTTACCGTTTTCTCTGTTAGTAGTAGTTTACTACTGTACTTGCTTGGATGTGTTGTGTTTAAGTAATAGTCAAAAAAAAAAAAAAAAAAAAATCCTTACAGTCACCAATCAAGGATCCCTTCAGAATACGTCAACTACCTCTGATATTACTATTTTCCAAAAATATTTCATTAATTATTGACTGTGAAGACCCGGACTAGACCAGGACTAGACCAGGTCTAATCTTGGACTTGAGAGAGAGAGAGAGAAACCACAAGCCCATGGAGGTGTCCGCAAAGCACGATCAGACGACAGCTGCTTTAGCGCCGTGGGGCGTGGAGCTCTGCGCCAGTCCTTTTGCCCGCGGTCACCCACACTCAGTCCTGATTCAGTTCTGGTTTAGTCCTTGTCTAGTCCGAGCCTTAGTCCGCGTGTGTCACGCCTTCCCAGTGGCTCTTTGGCGCTTCCCAGGGGAGGCGAGCCTCACCTATTGAAAACCGCTGCACTAAAGTCTCTCTCAGCCTGGTCCATCGTTCCAGGCAAAGACCCAGAAATGGCACTTATTTGCAGGGCAACGACGCTTTCTGTCCAAATATGAAAGTTTGAGCGGACTTTTCATCGCGTTAGCTCCAAATTAGTAGCTAAACTTTTAGCTCAAAGCTCCGAGGTTCACACAGTTAACACAGTTAAAAACAAACTTATTTGACAGTTTTGTGGGTTATGACCGTAACACAGTAGATGAATATAATCAAATAAAAGCCACATTACCGTAACAATCATAAGTCCCCGCTGTAGTTTATCGTCAGTCAGCTGTTTTCTGTCTCTCAAAGGCAGATCCTTTCTCTCTGTCCAGCCGGTGTGTCTCTCCATTGAGCTGTTACACTGAGCGCCCCCTGCAGGTTTGGAGCACTTCCGTTGTGGCGACTCTTTATGCAGCGTTTTTTCTTTTGCAGGTGTTTTCTTGGTTTTCATCGTTTCGCGCTTTGCATCGTTTCTCTATTTGCAGCGCATTTGATGATGATGCATTTGTCTTTGTTTCTTGCAGCGCGTTTTTTTCATCTGCACCACGTATTTTGTTTGTACCTCGTTTAAACTTGTGTTTGACCTTGTGAATTTGCATCGTTTCTGTACTTGAAATTGTTTTCTCTAAATGAGACGCATTGAGCTGTTGCAGTGCGTTTGGCCCCCGTCGGCCACCGTACGGGCCGCGGCGTACGGAACGCGGCGTATGGGACGCGGCGTACGGGCCGCGGCGTACGGGCCGCGGCGTACGGGCCGCGGCGTACGGAACGCCGGCGTATGGGACGCGGCGTACGGGCCGCGGCGTATGGGAGGGGGGACGTCTGCTGCATAAAATCTTTTTATTAATGCCAAATAAAATCTCCAGCAGAAAAGATGTATGATATTCTTACATTCATCATTTGTATATTTTACTTTACTCTCATATTTAGTTTGCAGGACTGCAGTTTATCATCCCTCCTGCCCGCTTCCGCATTGTGCAGTCCTGCTCCTGCCCACAGTGAGCTTTCAAAATGTGTCCCGCGCCGCACTGGTTTGCATTGGGTCCTGTGGGTCTCTGTCCTCGGTCTCTGTCCTCCATCTGGGTGGATGATGTAGCATCACATTCTAGAATCTGAAAACCACCAATAGAAAGTTCATAGTTAAACACAAACAAAATGTTGACTGGTATGTTCATTTACTTGAATTGTTTCCACCAGATAAAAAAACTAAAACTAATGTAAATGTTGTTTCTTGTATCTTCTGCAGGTTAATCTGACACTGTGCTGCTTTTACTGTGGATTTCTCTTCAAACTCACGAGTCTTGCAGAATGTTTGTCATAATGTGCTGCGTTTTGGACATTTCACGGAACGTCAGAGGAGCAGACGTCTCCTGTGAAACCCTTGGCCTTCCTCCTCCTCCTCCTCTTCTTCCTCGTCCTCGCGCTGTCACCGTGAGCTCATTGGGTGCGTGTTCAGGCTGTTTTTGACAAAGATGTTTGCGGTTGACGTGAGCGAGTGTAGAGCTGTCACGCTGTTGACGAGTCGGCGGCACATCAACTCCACAGAACACCTGCGCCGCGTTCAGGGACTTCAAAAGTGCAGGAAACGTCACCGCAAAATCCTACAGGGATTTGGGGACGCACGCTTTGAATGGAGAGATCACATTTAAGAGACTATAACAGTGTAAAAACAACTTCAAACACCCAGCACCTGATTTTGACTCGTTTCAAACGTGAAAAGCAGAACGAGTTCATCTGAAACTGTTGGCACTGGTCCAAAGTTTCTCCTGACTCCTGCATTCTGAGAAAGGGAAGAAAGTAACGAATTACATTTACTCATGTTACTGTAACTGGGTAGTTTTTGTGAGTAATTTGTCATTTTTAAGTAGTTTTTGAAATAGGTAATTTCACTTTTACTCGAGTACATTTTGACCCAAGTATTTTACTTTATTACATTGGAACTGCGGAAAAACAACAACAACAACTATCTGCCAGAAATGAAATTGAATTGTACAAGCTGCATTTTCACTACACAAAGTTACTGTACAGAATCAGTGTGTCTTGGATCTTGATGCTGGTGCCGAGTCACAGATCGAGGTCGTCATGGACGATGTTCAAAAAGAAGTTGCCCTGAATAATTCTCAAGAGGAAAGTGAAGGAAGGACTTGGCCAAACCTGGAACAGATATTTGTGTTCAAACACAAAATAGGGAATAACATAATAATGCAAAATGTACCTGTCCCGCCGCTATCAATAAACTCCAGTCCAGGAGCCGAGCTGCAGCTGCTGCACCGTGTGCGGGCGTCAGGAGGCCCACATGTGCAGGGTGTACACTCCGAGGTTCACCACAGGACTGAGGTGCTGCCCCACACCCCGAGGCCGAGCTGCTGCTGGAGCAACTGGTGCAAGTCATAGACCAGTGCCTGGATCTGTTTGTGCAGCAGAATCAGAACCACTGCACTCAGTTTGGATGGGTTTAGTCCTGGTTTAGTCCTGGTTTAGTCCTGGTTTAGACCTAGTTTAGACCTGGTTTAGTCTTGGTTTAGTCTTGGTTTAGTCCTGGTTTAGACCTGGTTTAGTCTTGGTTTAGTCCTGGTTTAGTCTTGGTTTAGTCCTGGTTAAGACTAGAGCCCGACCAATATGGGCACCTGGAGACATATCGGATATCGGCCGATATGCTTGCTAATATGGGCCGATATTTCACGTGGGCATGTTATACCTCGTTATAAAGCTTAGACTCTCATTTAATCCAATTTACAGACAGATAAATGTCCAAATATGTGGCTCCGCATCAGTATTTATCTGCTGAGTCATTTGTCTGTGTCCGTACTGTCCCTGAACACACCACCAGAGTGACGTCACTTCACTCGTGTGTTTGTTTACACCCGCAGCCGTGCGCAACACTGAGATTATATTCTTTTTCGGACAATCGGTTTCAGTCTGGATTAAAAGGACATTTATTAGTGCAGACTTGTGATGTGGGAGGAGCCTGTGTGAGCGGTGAGTGTTGGAAATACATCGACTTTGAAGCTAGTTTAGGTTTTGTTAGCGATTAGCTGCTGTAGCTCCCACACATAAACAGGCTGTTTTCTATTGGTCTGTTGTAAAGTGACTACATTGGCCGTATATTTGTTACTGGACCTGCATTAATATGTAAATGAGCTGTGAATAGACGTGTGAATGATCCACATTTATGCATATAATTAACTACCGCGGTGCGCAGCATTTACGGCTAAAGGCTAATAGCGATAGTTTACTAGCTAGGAGTTATGGGGCGGTTGCGGTCGGAAGCGGCTTTTAGAGCGAACAACAGGAGCCTGCTTCTTATTGGGAGCCGTGTTTTCTCTTTTTCTCACTTTTTCTCTTCATGCCGCATGTCGACCCGTAGTTTGACAGCAGCAGCGGCTGAAAACGAAACTTTCAGAAATCTGCGTGTGCATAGGATAAAAAAAGTGCATATTTGGCTGCAGTTCAGCATAAAATGAATAAACCAGGACTAATCTTGGGCTCGAGTGCAGGAGAAAGATAGAAACCGAGTCCCGACACTCAGTCCTGGTTCAGTTCTGGTTTAGTCCTGCTTGCAACAAAACAATGTCAAGAGTTGCTTGGGAGCCGAAAGAGCCAGCTGCTTTAGTGAGCCGAGCCAAAAGAGCCGGTTCTCAAAAAAAAAAAAAAAAAAAACTGGAATACCCATCACTAGTAGCTAGAATGTGATGCAAAAATGCCATTAGGCCAATCTACTGTATGTAAATATGATGTAAAGAGTCAAAATAACAATAAATGTTGCCTAAATAAACCCAATTTAGAATCTACTAGAGCCAAACCTAAGTTTTTTAATCAATTCAAGATTTACAGTGAATTTTTACATCACTAAATCGTATATATATCGGCGATTATATCGGCTATCGGCAGCTCCAACTCCCATTATATCGGTTTAATATCGGCCACAACAAAATCCATATCGGTCGGGCTCTAGTTAAGACCTGGTTTAATCTTGGTTTAGTCTTGGTTTAGACCTGGTTTAATCTTGGTTTAGTCTTGGTTTAGTCTTGGTTTGGTCCTGGTTTAGTCCTGGTTTAGTCCTTGGTTTAGTCTTGGTTTAGTCCTGGTTTAGACCTGGTTTAGTCTTGGTTTAGTCTTGGTTTAGTCCTGGTTTAGACCTGGTTTAGTCTTGGTTTAGTCCTTGGTTTAGTCTTGGTTTAGTCCTGGTTTAGACCTGGTTTAGTCTTGGTTTAGTCCTGGTTTAGTCTTGGTTTAGTCTTGGTTTAGTCTGGTTTAGTCCTGGTTTAGACCTGGTTTAGTCTTGGTTTAGTCTTGGTTTAGTCTTGGTTTAGTCCTGGTTTAGTCCTGGTTTAGTCTTGGTTTAGTCCTGGTTTAGTCTTGGTTTAGTCCTGGTTTAGTCTGGTTTAGTCTTGGTTTAGTCTTGGTTTAGTCCTGGTTTAGTCTTGGTTTAGTCTTGGTTTAGTCTTGGTTTAGTCTTGGTTTAGTCCTGGTTTAGACCTGGTTTAGTCTTGGTTTAGTCCTGGTTTAGACCTGGTTTAGTTCTGGTTTAGTCCTGGTTTAGTCTTGGTTTAGTCCTGGTTTAGACCTGGTTTAGTCTTGGTTTAGTCCTGGTTTAGTCTTGGTTTAGTCTTGGTTTAGTCCTGGTTTAGTCCTGGTTTAGACCTGGTTTAGTCTTGGTTTAGTCCTGGTTTAGTCTTGGTTTAGTCCTTGGTTTAGTCCTTGGTTTAGTCCTGGTTTAGTCTTGGTTTAGTCTTGGTTTAGTCTTGGTTTAGTCCTGGTTTAGTCTTGGTTTAGTCCTGGTTTAGTCTTGGTTTAGTCTTGGTTTAGTCCTGGTTTAGTCCTGGTTTAGTCTTGGTTTAGTCTTGGTTTAGTCCTGGTTTAGTCCTGGTTTAGTCCTGGTTTAGTCCTGGTTTAGTCCTGGTTTAGTCCTGGTTTAGTCCTGGTTTATCTCGGTTGTCTTACAAAAGTTTGCGCTGACCAGTTTGTCTGTATCATCTAGTACTTGACCAAAACGACTTGTGCTGGACTCGATTTATGACTCATCCTTTTTTACATCAAATAATTGATGTCATTTACTTCATTATAATTGTTCAGTCCTTTTTCCACCTCTGACTCTGAGCATCGTAATTATTCACCACAACTTTTGAAGCACTTGTCACAACTCTCAGTAACAAGAGCAGAGTCTGCAGCCACAGTAAAGTGAACAACAACTAGCATGCTAACACACACTTCCTGATTCTCAGACTTTAAAACACAGCAGACTTATTTGGACCTCAGAGCTGCTTATACAACACATCTGTACTGCAGCAAGAAGGGAAAACACATCATGTATTGGCCCTTACAACATTAGTTTGGATTGGATGTTTTATTTTATTTATTTTTTGAGAAACACTCATACACATACTACATTTACATTGTA